TCTAGTTCCAGCTGAGACAGTACAGTATTGGGAGTCATGAAGGCTTGCAAAAAATGTAATAAAATTATCAGGGTCGTATTTAAAAAAATTAAGTTGATGATGGTCTTGGAGGGACAAAACGTTACTTATAAAAATTGATTATGCCATTCGACAGAGGGCAAAATGCTTTTTTCAATATCACCTCAAACAAGCCTGAAATTAAACAAAAATGAATTCCAAAAATTTCGTTTTTTTTTTTCAAATATTTCGATAACTAATGTTAGCCTGATTGCGCAACATTGCCCCTATTTAAGCTACTTCGTATCTCTTAGCGTTTCCGAGATCCCTGTAGTGAAAAGCGAATTTGTAACAGCCTGTATACCCTCTATTACAAATAATATAATCCAACCGAATTATTGTTAGAACTTTAATGGATTCTCATTGTATCTAATTGTGAGTGGAATCTTTCCATAGTCCAACTGGATTTGTAGTTGGATCTTATAAAGTTATTACTAAAGTACATGTTCATCATTAATTGAAATTCAATAAGGTCAGTTATGGGTGGATTATGAATCCATGTTAAAATCTAATTGGATTCTTACTTGGATACTAATTGAAAGTCCGAAGGATTTCTGTTGGTATCGAAATACAAAATATCCTTAACTGGCTTTCAATATGGTTGGTTTGAGAGTAGTTTATTCCAAATGGAATATTATTAAAATCCAATTAAATTTTTAATCGGATACAGCATTTCTTTAAGTTCCATTAATAATCCAATTAGGTACCAACAGAAATAATTATATTTCAAGGAGAGCAACATTAGCAACATGATAAATTCACTTGAGGTTCCAATTGGATTTTAGCTTAAAAAGTTACCAAAAGCAACAACTTCACGATATATGTCTCATTTTGTAAATCAAACCAAACACATTAAACATGATACGCCTTACACGTCGCGAAGTTTTCAAACTGAAGTTCGCAATTACGTCCCTAGTTAACACTCGTCAGCTAACTCTTAAAAGATTTAGTGTTTATTTTTCCGAGGATTTCCCTCAGACTCTATTATAACGTTAAGGAACGTTATTTAGGTAGATTACGGAAGTTTTAAAATAAGAAACAATGAAACTTTAAGGAAACTTTCCACTTTGCTATGAAAATATTTATTAAGCTCGCCGATCAGACGTCTTCCACATTCGGCGGTAAATTTTAATGAAAGTACAGAAAAAGGGTTGTAAATGTTAGTTAATCAATTTAAGCGCAAAATGGATGACGAGATTAAACGCAACTATAGAAATTAACTCGTAATATAGTGCCTTGTGCGGGAGAAGCGGCGGCATATTATTATTTTATAATTTCCACGGGAACAAGGGACACCTCGTTTCATTGTTAACCATTTGCATGGGTAAATAGATGCGGCTTCACGAGACGAGCAGTTCTAATGTCCGTGCTGTGTACAAAAGGACGACAAAGCCTAGCAATGAGAGCTAAATTCTCCCGATTTCTAGCGAAGCGAATAAGACAGCGATACTTGCACAGCCGAGGACTACAATGAAACTTTTGTATTTTGCATAGCGAATTGTATTAATTATCGCGGATGCAGTTGAGCAAACAGGAGTAGTGCATTAATGAGGCACATCTGCGGCTTTGCTGCGATAGAAAAAACAACGGCGGAAATGCAGAGCTCTGTAATTTAGCTTATAGAATTAATCCACTGTTTATTTATACACGAAGCCAGGGAATTCTCATTTTCTCGGTGAATAGGTAGACACAAAGGTCTTGCTTGTATTGTAAGAAATTGGTCTTATTGTTTCTTGTGAATAAATAAAAGAATTGTCTTTCGTTTACATACAGAATGTCTTGCGGAGAAGTGTACAAACTAAGGAAACATTCTTCAAGTAAACTGAAATTAGTACGTTTATTTATTGTTATTTGTTAACGCTATTCAGATTTAGATATTTTTTTTCAAAACGGTAGTCTCTAAAAACGGCAATTTTGCAGTGACCATTTATCATTTTTGTTTGTTGGTATACCAATACACCATCCCTGCTCCCTCACAAATCTTTGACAACATGGAAAAAATTGTATAAAACTGTAGCAGCACAGGAAATATGATTATGGTTTTGGTCAAACATTGTCAAAATTTGTTTCAATGTCGTATTTAAATTGCTTACAATTCTGAAAAATGTTTGTATCTTGTTTGACGGGGTGATTTTTAAATGCATATATTTTAACTACTGATATATTTGCGATGTAAACCACTGCAGTGGAAGTCATCTTTAAATAGGTATTATTATTTTTTTAAAGGTGCAAGCCTATCAACGATTACAAGTTTGCCAAGTCATGCGCCAATAAAATTAATTAGAATAACTCTAATGCATTATAAAGATTCTAGTTAAAAAAGTAGTAATTGGTTCCTAGCGTCATAATAAAGGAAACCCTAAACGAATAAAAAAATAATTTCAGCATGGCAATACTGTCGTAAAGTTTAAAATTGCACTGATTAACAAGATTAGCAGATTAATAAATTTAAAAACAAATTGAACAAATAAAACTTACCTTGATATTGAAAAATAAGGTATTTAAACAATTACTTACTACAAAATACGATTAGTCAATAATTAATCTATCACGCTACAGTTGTCTAATCTTCACATGTACACAATAAAAGTCATTACTTCACTGATTTACATAGTAAAGGCATAATCTCCAACTTAATCGTTAAAAATTGCAAATTTAAATACACACATAGTCAATTTTATATTTTTTGCGAAATATGTATATCGTTTTCTGTTTCCAGTGACTTCATGTTTACCACAACGCTTGTCTCAAAAATCCTATGACGCATTTCGACGTTTGTAGGTCGTCAGAATCCAGAGGAACAATGGTGTCGATAAACTCAATTTATTTAATACGCTTTTATCATCATTATTTACTATTCTACTATAAGAATTTAAGTAACAAATCGTTTCGTTTACACAGAAAGCACTATGATAACCACTAGATGGTATATTTTCAAATAATTCTGTGTACCTTCGAAAAGTCACTAAAATTCTAAAGCTCTGAAACAATTGAATGGTACTTAGGTAATAACTAGAAAAATATTTCGCCCTATTTTTCAAAAAGTGGCGAAAATAACAACATCCAAGGGACTTCCAGTTCAAAATATTCTGTCACTAAATCGAACCACACATCAGGCCACCTAGCAGAATTCACCCAGTCAGTGTGCGAACACCAACCCTGGTTTACCGCAGTTATTTAACCAGAGCATAACTGCCTGGCCAGAGTATGTACTCGACCAACCACCGCATTTCCTACATTGTATTATTATTTAAATAAATCATTAAAGCTCATGAACTTTTAAACAGTATTTCGCGTTATAATTCTCCAAAAAATTACCAACTCGGGCGCAATGCTCACATATACAGTTTTCACGTTGCAATATTTGCAAAGCTTAAAGCTTAACGTACTGGCACTGTAAGGAGGCCATTCTTTAGATTTCATACCCGCCCCCCGCCCTCCACCTCCACAAGCACAGGGGATATTTTTCACCCTCGAATTCGGAATCAGCACCCGCGAAAACCCCTGAGATCCTTTTTTCCAGTCATTCGGAGAACCTTGCAATCCACGTGCCCCCCGCGCCCCCCAGGCGGCCGGAAGTAGCCCCCCAAGGGGTCGGGTAGACTGGATATATGCATATTCGAATTCTGCGCCCCCCAAAACCCCCGAGTCCAATTTTTGCGGTATTTCGTGCACTTTGGCAAGTTTCTCGGATGCGATGCACTTCTAGATGCACTTTATGCACCCGCGATGCATTTCCGCCACTTCCGGATAATAAAAAAGGCGGGACTTTTTTCCGACGGTCTTTCTGAACAAAATGCAAAAAACCGCATTAAAATCGGACCGGGCCGCGAAAATCTAGATATTTTTCTCTTTATTGCCTGGTCTAGTACATCAGAAAAACAATTAAGGGAAAACGTACTGGCATAAGACAGTAATGACGTAAACTATCGGCCGCGGTACCGTGGACGCCTCTGGACTGACAGCTGGTTTAGGGTCTCTAAACTTGAAATTTTTCGTAATAGCCAACTTAAGAAAATCAAATTTATTGATGGTGACAACCAATTTGGTCACGTGGGTCTCGGACATTAATGAAAGCCCTGTACGCTCTCTCCGGACTCATTATGAGGGTCTATGACCCTCTGAACCAAGGGGAAATGATGGTAAGTTGACTCCACCTCATGCTAGTCAGACCGAGCAAAATTCGCGTCATGGCGCCCATCGTGGGGCTTTAACAGAGGATAGACAACCGACCTACAGTATCGTAATATTAGATGGATACCTGCCATATACAATAAGCCAAAGGCAGATGTTTTAAAGACTACGTGCAGTGAATTTTCTCATCTATCTAAGAGATTCGAAAACCAGCTGACACAGTGCACGTGGTCTTTAACAGGCAGGATATGCAGCGACTTTTTCACTCAGATATTGCGCAAATAAAATTGGTCGCGTGAATTCAGAATTTTATCGTAATCTTTATAATGCAAAATATGAATTATTATTATTATATTTTTTAATAAAACATTTGATCCATTTTTTCCATGAAGAGTTAAAAATAATAAGAATTTATAAATAAATTTTTGTCTCAAGTATCCAGTTCGCAAGAGGCTATTGGTCATTTAGTCATAACTGAAACTTTATTAGACTAATAATAATAATAGTCAATAACCATTGAGAAGTGAGCACTAGCCACATGACTGAACTAATGCCCATCTCTGCCACAAAGTCCAAGATTTTTTATTCAGTGTAGAAAATGCACAGTATGTGGATTAAATACATTCCTGGTTCCTGGTACTACCAAATAAATAAATATGCATTAGTCATAGCTTTATAAGGTCATCATCTTCGCTTTTATTTGGTATAGGATCTGATTGTAAAGCTTCGATGTCAAGGAGATTGACATTTGTTTATAGAGTCACAGAGTCATCTATAAAGGAGTATGTTGAAGAGGAACCAAATATTAATTTCATCTTGAACAGCATTTATTTATTATAAACATGTACATAACAATATATTTAGTTCTGCAGTTACAAATGTATTGAACAACTGTACTGCTTCAAAAAATTACGGTTAGCATTTCAAATATATTAAAATGACATATTTAAAATAATTTATAATATTATGCGTTACAAAGTTCAGTCCATTCGTCGGGAGTAATAGTGCGGTTGCTCAAAATACTCTTGAAATCCCGCAAATCGCAGTTAAATCCACAGCCGGCCAAAGTAATGGGTTCAGGTTCCGCACCAGAGACTTTGATGTAGTAGATGTTAATATAATTACTCCTCCTTGTTTGTCGCAATTCAAAATAAATCGTACTAGCAAAACCTGGAACCGACGATGGGTACGCTCCCAAAGAACCTAAAATGCTCGCTATATTCATATCATGACCACTGTACTGCAAGTATGGTGGATCTGTAGAATTTGCCAAAATCCCTTCGAAGTGTTCTATGAGCGCGTTGAAGAACGGCCCGGTGGCTAAATAAAATAAAAAATAATTAAAATCACGATACTCGAAAATAATTGGGATAACTTACTGAGAATCTTTAGTTCTTCAGTGTAACTGCTGGCCAGATAATACAATGTTCCCAGATAAGTAAGCGGTTCTGGAAAAACGGACTGGGTCCACTCGGGCAAAGTGTAATTCCGAAGATTTTCAATATGCAAGGAGTCCCATATCGTTAAAAGGCCCAGGAGACTCGTGACGTTGCTTCCTGTATGCTCACTTACATATGCCAAAAGTTCTTGGTTTTCCTCCAAAAGATTCACGAAAAGTTCATCAGAGCTGAACAGTTCTGAGACACCCGTGTTGTAAGCGCTGCAACCGGTATAAGCGCTCAATACAGCTTCGGTGACTGGAAAGACAGGAATAGGCTGCCATTGAAGATCTTCTTTCCACACTTGGTAACCAACAGGTGGGAAAAGTCCTGCAACGTTCGATGCCGCTGACATGAAGGTTCGATCCCAGTTTGTTGTTTGAACACGGAAAAATTCATTGGAATAGTATTCCGGGATAAAGTCGCTATATCTCCTGCGTGTGTACTGTCCCAGCTTGTAATGTTGCGCCATGCCAGTCTGAAGGAAAAGATTACTGTAAATATGTGCACGAAGAATAAAAGAGGAAGAGCAAAAATTATGATAACTAGATGATTTCGTAAAATAGTAGGTATTGGTCGACATGTCAAAGAGTGAAGATATGGAAAATCCTTTCTATATATTGAGATGTAGTTTTTTTCGGTATACTTACGGTAGTTAGTTGTCCAAGCCCAGTTTTCCAGTAACTGGTGTCTTGATATGGATCATTTGGATAGAATGAAGATGGACTCCTCTCACCATGTCTGTAAACCTTTAGAATTCGTCTGTTTTATAACAAGAAACGAATAGCAAACGCGAGTGATCGGTGGAATACCTTATTCAACATCAATAAATATCTTATTAAATGTTTCGAATTCGCAATATAGAGTTGAAATTTAAAAAAATACATTTATTAGAGACTTTCATAGAGACGTCTTATTTGGTAGTGATCTTCATGTCTTTGAGTGTAATATCATCCTTGAATATTTAAAAAAAGTAACACATAAGGTGTTATTTTTGGAGGGTTTCATTGATTCTTAAAATTGTTATATGTACGTCTATGACCACGTCTTTACATTGTATAATACAAAATATTTCTAAAAATATTTTTTTAATGTTTTAAATTCGTCCCAAGAATAGGCTGTATTTAATATATTTGCAATATCTGTAGTACCCCTAGGAAGCGCTTTATAAAGAAACTTATGTAACCATAGACGTGCTGATGTGATGTTATGTATAAAGAGGTGATAACAGTAAAAACATTACACCGTTTACGTAATTTAATTTTTTTATCTAACCGATATTTGCACTATTCGCTTTATTTTAAAGTGATGAAGATACTTCAAATGAATTAAAAAAATCTTTTCCAAAAAATCCTATCATATGAAGCCAAACAATCCTAAGGTAAAAAACAAAAATAGTGAGATCTTAGCTGTCGTGGCTATGAAAGATTACATTTTATAATAATTTCAATATACCAGTTATGTATAATTAATAATTAATAAATTAACATTGGGCATAAAACATTTAAAATAAAATAAAAACAGGAAATCTAACAGTAAAGTACATATTTTTTAAAATCAATCTTTATGCATTAGAATTCAATAAACAATAAGATGCTTGTCAAGTAAGAAGCCTCTAGACTATACCTTCTTAAAATTATACGGAAAAAAAGTATTTCTCGGTGCAGCATAGACAAAATTAGACAGAAGTAAACAATTTAATAACATTAACTTACCTGTATAAGGGACAACAACTGTCCTTTCCTGCCTGGTAAGGCGGACGAAAGGAGAATTGTCGAGAGGACAAGGAGAAGCTTGACTATCATGGTTTGAGAGTGTCCTCTGAAGTGTTAGATTTTCGCTTTAAATAGCGATACTATTGGCGCGTAAACGCAGATATACTTTAGTGTTATTATTGATAGTTAATAAAAACATAAATTATTAAATCAATAAAATTAATTTATTACAGTAAAGTCTATCGTAATCTTGATAAGCGATTTATCATCAGTTTTGCATAAACTTACAGTTCAAATTGAATCATCATTTATTTTTGAAAAAGACTTTATGGGACTTAAATAAAAACTTCTGATTGATTGATTATGCATTTGTACATGGGATTATCAGCTTCAACATGGGATTACCGGCTTAGGAGGTGATTATGCTACAACCTGCATGACTGATGCGCAAACCCTTCTTTGAAATTATCCCACAATGAATGATAGAGATATTGTTTAACATTAATATGTCATGCCTTTCAAACTTTCATGCAGGGAATCATGTATTTTAAATAGCAGGAACTATATTGTGTACTGAAAACGCTAAAGGTAGGTATTTCAATAAATTAATAATAATTCAATCTATCCTGGAATCTGATTGGCCGTAGAGTTTTCTGACGTTGTAACCCCTTGCTAGATAGCGCCATGTCGTGTAACAATTTATGGAAATGTAATTTTACATAGGCTTTTTTGGTAGAATGTATCACAATTAACAGTTTTTAATTCTTCGGTCTTTATTTCTGTTTCCTTTTCTACTTCTTTCTTTCTCTCTATTTCTGTCAGTTCGGTCTTTGCATTTTAGTCAAAATTACGAACGAAAAAACAATCCTTTTCAAGTGAAATATTTTGTATAACAATAACACCTTTTTTAATTACATTTTGCCGCAAATCCTTCATTTCTTCAGGTAATACCTTATTCTTGGAACTTGTATATTCCTGGTCCACATCTTTACTATCACCATACTCTTCAAAATGACTTATGCTAATATTGCTAATGTCATCATCGGAATTACCGTTGCCAGAAATTTTGGAATTCCATGACGACTTGAAAAATTAAATATATGTAATATTAAAATAACAATCACACAAGGGACTTACATTATCTGAATCTGAATCGTTAGGAATATCTGGTTCTTGCATGTCTTTTTCTTTTGAGTAAATAATGTCGTGATCGGATATGTTTATCTCTTAATCGACAAAAGAAAAATCACTTAAATCTTCTGTCTACTTCGTTTCCGTAACCTGTGTAGTCTCTTTGTCTACTTTTCTATTTTTCAGAGAAAAGAAATTTTTCCCACAGAAAAGATTCTGAAAAAAAATCTGTTTTGGCCAAACAGTTACCTAAGTCTGTCATAGTAGTGCTTGTTAAATCCATTTCTTTTGCCAAGTCGCTTATAAATTTCATGGCGGCTATTCTTTGATTTGGTAATAGATTTGAACTCATCGATCGATGAACCTCCACTCCTAATCCATTTATTATTAAACACAATGAATAAATAATTTCGTACATCAATATGGACATGGGGAGGAGCCCGATCGTGCATGAACCAAACCTTTCTTCGGATGTCTAATGGAACATCGTCTAACAGTGGCTGCAAATTATTTTACAAAAACTCCAAATATCGACGTCCATTCAGACGTTCCGCAAAAACGTAAATTATTCAATTATTACCCACTATTCCTGCCAATACCTTAATAGTGGGTAATAATTTAATAGGTCTATACGTTTTTAAAGAACGTCCGAATGGACATCGATATTTGGAGTTGAATACTTAACTTACTTTAACTTATTCTTGTTTTGTTTTTTATTTTGTGTTATGTGTAAAGTGTGTTTGTCAAAATTTGTTAATGAAAATTACATTAGCAAACAGTAAGATTTTCTAGGCTCCTATTTTTAAAGTATATACGGTTCTAACACAGTAATTATGTCCAATTAAAAATTAAAAAGAAAAAATGGTGGCTCAATGTGCACTGTGACATAAAATCACAAATATTTTCTAAACTGTTAATTTTACCGAGTTGAGAGCAAGAGAACTTATTTTTGAGGCAGGCAGATTGCGATCGTCATCTATGCAAAAATTGTGGGTTATTAACCATTGGGCATAATCCGTCCCTGGCGTTCTGGGAATTTCATTTAAAACATCAAAAACAAGCTTTACGGATGTGTTACCGATTTCCAAATTTGCATCATGCTGAAGTTAATAGTTTAGAGGCTAAATAAAAATAACTTTTTAATTTTCACCGTAACATGTTAATGAAGGCCCGTAAAAAAAATTTATACGAAGAACTGAGATTATTTTGACCTCATCTATTTGTACTCGACTTTTTGTATCGAGTACCGGGACACCCTATATATCGATTTAGTTAATGAATGTAAAAAAAAATCTTGCATATTGGTTAAGAACGGCTGGACAAGTTCCCGCTAATTGTCCTTGAATAATTCCTCAAATCACATAAATTATTATCAAGTTTGTATTAGATTATCAAGTACTCGTATGTTTTATAATTAGTTGAATAAAGCTGTGTACTTTTTTACCTATAAATTTCACATTGTTTACTACATTTTAGATTAAGTAATGTAAGTAAATATCATTACAACAAAAGAGATAAATGATATGTTTTGGTTTGCTCCAGTGATAACAAACATAAGCATTCTTAAAATTTTTGAATTTATTTCTTGATCCAAGTAATGTCCCCACCGAATGGCCTGTACATGATTCAGATTAATATTAGGCTACGTATGGACTGGGTTCGAATACACATAAATTAATAAAAATAGTTAATAATGGTTTATCTATTAATACCTAATGATTTAATCAGGCGATATATCTATATTGGTCTTATATTTGCTTTGACGTCAAGGAGGATGACTCTCGCATTTTTACTTTATTATAATGGAATTAAGCGAATTTAAATAAATTCAAAAAATTGTATCCATATAAAAAAAATAAGAAAGGTAGTAACGTAAAGAAAGTAAAGTAATTTTACACGTAATTATATTTCGAAAACACAATTTTTCGTAACAAATGGGAACGTAAATTTGAATTTAAATTTCACTTTTTGAACTACTAACATTATTTGTGTGGATTCTTAACCTTTTAGGAGGAAATTATTTATTACGGTATAATTACCTCCAATAATAAGTGTTTATAATTATCATATTCAAATTATATGGAAACAGTGGTGTATTATTATAAATATGATGAGGAACGGAATTGAATAGTATAAATATTAAAACAGCAACTCATAAGAGAGACAATTTTTTTATTTAAGGAGAATTGACTTACCGTTATTTGAGTGACAGCAAATTCTCGTTTCTTTGTTAATAGAACAACAAAAATCTTATTCATGTTCTGAGCATTTCTTATAATCTTATATTGTCATTTTAAATAGACAATTAGAAAATAAATAATTAACATTTAATCCTTATGGACAATTTTTTGTAAGTTTGATAAGCGTTTTATGTCCTTTTTCGCAACAAAAATAATTATAAATGCACATGTCTCGAGACGTTTTGTTCCTGCTTTACACATATACTTATTGTCAAATCTAAAATTTGGTTCTTATTTGTTATTCCACTAAATATCATGTAAGTAAAACTTAAAAAATTATGTAATCTTGTACCTTGTTAACGGAAAAATAATACATTTAAAGTCATTCATTTCATTATTCTGTACAATAGTTTGCGTGTTAAGTTTTTTTTAATGTTGAACCTAGAAACTTATGTCTTGGTGAAAAAGAGCCTACATTATTTTAGAAGCTAAAATGAATGCATTAAATAATGATGGATTTTTAGAGAAATTGAAATAAAGTCCATACAGGACGTAAATGATAAACACAAATTTAGAAATAACTAATTTCTAAGCTTAAGTCTACTTTGCAAGAAAAAAAGGTTGAAAGTCATAACTTAGAATAAATGTTTAAAGAGTTAAAAACAAATTGCACAAAATATATAAGGAAGAATAATATTGAGATCTTGAGATATCTGAGAATCGTGAGTTATGTAGTTCCCCAAGAAAGTGTATTGAGGCATAAATTAATTACAATGTATATACTCGTACCTAGTTTATTTCAGTTAAACATAAAAGCTAGAACAGTTTAAAAAGTCAAAAATAAATTATGCAAAGTTAAAAAAGCATAAGAGGATAAATAAATTGCGATGTTTGTTTTAGGAAATCGTAAATAATTTGTTTGTATATCTAATTATTATTAGATATCATCAATGGTGAAAGAATCGTGAGTTATGTAATTCCTCAAGAAACTCCATTGGAGCCCAAGTTATTTACAGTTTATATAGATTATTTCAGTTGAATATATCACTTAGAAGAACAGTTTAAAAATTTAAAAATAAATTACACAAAGCTAGAAACGCATATGGGGATGAATAATATTGCCATCTTTGTTATTTAGCAAACGGTAAACAATTTGCACAATTGAATATCATTAGTGGTGAGAGATTCGTGTGCTATGGAGTTCCCCAAGGAACTGCAACGGGGCCTATGCCATATACGATTGATATAGTTTATTCAATTAAATACATAACTTAGGAAAAAAGTTTAAAAAGTAAATTACACAAAGCAAGAAAAAGATATGAGAGGAAGAATAAATATCGTGATCTTCGGTTTACATTAAAAAAACAAGAAAATTCATCAATAAGGAAAATTGTTAAAAATTATGGATCTGAAGATCTTAGTCCTGAGAACAGCAGTGTAACTTTCCATGCTGCTGTTCTTTACAACACATATATAAAGTTTTTTTTTCTTTCTGACAATATAATCTTTTGAATTATCATTAATTTACTGGGAGAACAGATCACAGTTAAATAATTTGTTGTAAAACAAATTTTTTATAGAAATTTTTTATTACGATCGATTCGGGATTATTTTTCCCATCTTCAGATAAAACAATAATAATCTTGGATTATAATATTTTTCCTTACGTAAAANAGATATTGCAAAAAAATGATTTCCATTCCCCCCTCTTCAATGGGTCCCTGTGCCCTTAGGAAGCATTTCCGGACCCATGTTCATATGAACTTTTTTACTTAGTTTTGATCATAGAATCGTCCTGT